TATTGGTCTTATAGACCAGAGAAACCCCTAGTGGATTCTCAACACAAATTATTAATAAAGATAAAGGCAAAACCTCATCTAAAAAAAAAAAAAAAAAAAAAAAAAAATGTTCCCACAGGTTACCACCATTGGCATATTGTTGAATCAACATAAAATTACCACTTTGTTCATCTAAAAATATTATAACTTAAAGTTTAAAAAAGTCATATCATTTAGATATAGCATCGCATATACCTTTTAAATTTATACCTCTCAAAATGCCATTGAATTTTATGATGTTTGGATGATGGATCTTACACAGAAGATTAATCTATTATTATATCATTTAATTAAATATGAATATTAAGAATTTATATAATAAATGTGAATAAAGCATTACCTCACGTATAACATTATTCAGTTTTTTATTTTCAATACCCAGATTATTGTTTAGAGATTTTATGACGTACAGTTGTTCTTTGAAGATGGCCGAATATACGTTCGCATTTCCCCCTTGTCCGATGAATTTTAAATCTATTAATTGTGAAAAATCAAAAATTTTTATATTGAAACTAGTTAACCTCTTCACTAGTTCTTTCGAATATTCCTTTACTAATAGTTTAAGTGTAATAAGTATTTAATAATAAATTAAAATATTAAATATTTTATCGCACTGATTTACAAACAAATATAATTTCTATATTAAAAAACATTGACTTTTACAATTTTTAATATTAATGATAACTTACATATAAGCAGCATTGAAAATGGATTCATTTGGTGAATCAAGAGCCTTTTGAGCAGAAGCGAAGTGATGAATTTAGGTGTCGCTTGTGTATAAATCACCGTCTACTTATAAATGGATACTACTGTATATTACACGTGGTTTTTAATTAATAATATATACTATTTATGTTATTTGGTTTAAAAATTTTTAAATAAATTTCTTATTGTAAATTCTATTTATGTATTTAATTTACGTGTATTTATATCGATTTTGGTTGTTATAAATAACTAAAACTTATCATGTGACAACACATTAGGGATGTGAACTATAAACTTATTCAATACGCACTTTTAATTCTTAGTCAATAAACTTACAAAATGAATTATATCATCAAATTGTTCAGCAATCAGCCAGATAAATTATACTTGAAACTAAATCCAATAATCGAGGCTGCCAAGATCATGGGGTTTTTCTTATCGTTATGTATTAATTTAGCTTAAAATCTATTACAATCTTGCATAATCAACAATGTCTGAGATTCAGAAACAGTTATAATTATTTTGAATTGGATATATTGTTTTTGACAATTATATTCGATAATTAAATCATAAAGTTGTTAATACTAGTACTTTATTGATTATAAGAAAGATTAGTAAATCTTAAATTTATTTCTTGGATAAGATTATAGTAAAATTAACAATTTATCTTTATTAAACTTTACGTTATTATCAAAAGCTTAACGAACATGTTATTTTGTTCTCGAAATTTATCAAATATAAAAGATAAAATTCAGTCATTATTTTCTAATAGTGTAAAATTTAATAAAACTAATTATAGTGCTAATAATTGTAACTAAATGTCCCATAAACCTTAAATTCAAAAAAAGGTTACTATTATCAGCAAACACGGCAGATATGACTGTGACATTGCTGTTTAAAAAAATTATTTCAAATAATAAAATTATACAAAAAATAATGAAAGTAAAAATAATACATTTAAATTTTTTTTTGCTTTGATGATTATTATTAATAATAACTGTGTTATCCACTTTAATTTCGTCATGATTTTCTTTTCGTTGTTCTTGTTGTTCGTGGTGACGGTGCTTGTATAAGAAAATACAAACTGGCAACTACAATTTTGAACAACTTGACAAATACAATTTTTATCTTGCACGTGCTGGTCAGTAGATGGTAGCCATTGGTGATTATTTATAGAATATTGGCTTGAACAGGACTCGGTGGAGGTTGAGAAGATGGTTGTTGATATTGAACCTGATTAGTAATAGGACCATTAATAATATGAGACTAAATCGGAAGACGTGATTGCTAGTTAATAACAGGTTGAGTATGTGTCATGTTGGCCAAATAAATTAACTGTTGCTGGCTAATAACAGGTTGAGTATGTGGCATGTTGACCGGATGACTTTGTTGATGACTTTGTTGGTTATTGAGATAACTCAATTGATGCTGGGGCTGGTTAATATGGGGAACTATGTCAAGATTATTATGGCTAACAGCTTGAGTTTGAGGCGTTTCAGAGGAATTAAACATAAACTGTTCACATTGATAAAGAATTTGTGGTGGTGAATTATTGGTAAATTCCAAACAACGGTCGCATGAGCAATCTTGTTGATATTGCCAGTTGTCATCTGTTCTGTAAAGAGACATTTTTACTCAAATGAAAGTTTCAAAGTGTGAAAGAATCCAAAGTATTTTATGAACAGATTTATATATTAATAGTGAGAACAAAAACTCATGTTTCAACCATCATAGTCAGTCAATGAACTTACCAGTTTTGGCAAAATAATTTACAGATAAAATATCTTACACATGAAATTTTTACTTGTTTGATTTTGAGTTCAAAAAAAAAGAGTTACTTTAATCATTCTCTAGAAAACTACTGTAAGAATAAATCAATAAACTTCCTAATTTCAATAATGTCGCATGAAATTTTACTTCGTTAAAGCACTGCACAAACTTCAAAAGGGGGAGTCAGTCAAAAGACTTAATAGTTTTGCCAAAATCCCATGCAAGATAAACATTTTAGGCTTCAGTCTATAGGGGTTATGGCAATTGACTACTGTAGTTTAACTAATCACGTGTAATTTAGTATTCATAAACCATGGCTCAGTTGTTAATTTAATATATTATTTATAGTAACTGTCTATATATTTCAAGATTATTAATGTTCTAACGCATGTAATAACTTCAATCAATAGACTTGTGTTTGACGAGATCGCGTGTAATATAAACTTTTCTAGCTTCAGAATCGCATGCTTCAAAATGCTCTGAAAAGATCGAAAATTCAAACTGTCCATAGGGGTCATAGCAACTGATTAAGAGATTATCATTTTTGAATTATACAATATCGATATCAAATGAATTTTGTATATAAAACAAATTCTATTGCCATATATTTAAGTCAAACTGAGCACCAATATAAAAACTACTCTAACTTTAAGTTCAATTCCGGTTTTATGATAGAATTGTATGATTTTCATAAAATTTACTTTATCGATACCGGTTTTTAAAAGATCTCGATTTCAAGAATGAAAACTGGATTACATCAGATTACATGCATTATGCGTATATAAAGATACTAGATAATAAAAACACAATAACCGGATGTGATATTAATATAAAAAGTACTCTAAATAAAGCTCAGTTACCCGGACAATTGATTGTATCAACCAATCAGATGAATGGCGCCAATTTGACGTGTTATTGTTCAGATTCAAGAAATGTGTAGGTTTTATGAACTTTAAGTAGGTCATATATTTTTAAACAAAGAGCGAAAAATAAATTGAAATTATGTAGAATTGTCAAATTGATTCCGGTTTTAGAAATTGTAAAACATAAATTAGTTACTGGACAATTGATTTTCATTGGCCAATCAGATAAACGGTGAAATTTGGTGCGTCATTATATATTATACGAATTTTATTTGTTATTGAATAATTACGCGTATTACAGATAGTAAAAAGTCACTTGTAAATTTTATAATGATTATTAACATTATGTATGCTATTTGCTTCTGTTCCAAATTCGTTGACATGCATCATTTAATTCTGATTCATTTGACAGTAATTCACTGGCCAAAGAATTGTATCTATAAAACCAAATGATTAGTTTCTCTATTGTTTTAATAATAAATCTTATGTTGAGAAGAATTTAGTTTCGTAATATGAAAATTTTATTAAGACTTTATAATGAGAGCTTTAAGTACTTAAAATCGAGAAATATTTAATTTCAAATACTTGATTATATTGAAAAATTTTCTTATTATTTGTATTTATGAAAATCACAAGGTATCGAAAACCTTATTTTAACATGAAATTTATAATCAAAATCACAAGGTATCGAAAAATTTTATTTTAACTGAAATTTATAATCAAAAAATCAATCATCATCAATTATTTCAATTATATCAGAAGTATTAATTGGGCCTGAAATTGGATCCATATCAGCAGTACTGTCCATTGCCTCAAGATATAACCTCTCATTAGTGACTGTTTTGTAACTTCTTGTAGAAATACCTAACATTGATTTTAAATCTTCGATCCTATTTTTTAAAAGACGAATTTGTAAATGAAAATCAGATTCTCTTTGGTCTCTTCGTTGTATTTCGTTCTCATGAGTTGCTCTGAAAATTTTATGTTTGTTATTCTCATTTTCTAATTTCAATTGCAAATTATGAATCTACAAAAAAGTGAATTATAAAAAATATAAGAAAATATTTAAGGTATTATACTTAAAAAGTAATTTTGATTTACTTTTGTTGCATTTTTGTGCCTTTTGGCATCCGCCAAATTAAAATTGTTTCTTAATAATTTGACATCACTCATTAATTTTCCAATCTATAGTTAAAAAATATGAAAGTAAATTAAACAAAAAAGTATAAAAAAAATATATTAACAATAATTTCTTATAAATTTACATCAATTGTTAAGCTTTCGATCGAGTTATTCTTTTCTTTATTGTCCAATTTTAATGTTGAGACTTCTCTCGTCAAGTTATCGATATCTTCATTCTTTTTATCAATTTCCATTCTCATCGAATTCGAATCTGAATCCGCTTTGTTTTCTTCTAGTTTTTTGATTTTATTTTTAGCGGTTTCAAGTTGTTCTCTAAGACTTCTAACTTCTTTGCTTAAGCTAGTTGAAGAATATCAATAATCAGTAATTATAACTTACTTAAAATTACTTATGATTAAAAAAAACACCATTCAATTTCTTCATCACTCTTTCCACTCTTTCTTTTTAAACTATTAAAATCCGAATAAATCAATTGAAAAATTTCAAGATCCTTCTCATTAGCATCTTTAGCAGATTCTTTCAAATGGTTGAACCATTGAATTTTTTCGTCTGCTTGCGCATTGCATTTTTGTCTACGAAGAATTCTCAAATATGCTTCAATGGTTTTAATTAGTTGGGTCTTATTATATAATCTTTCGTTTCTTTTTGCTTGTCTATTGCTATGATGAACTTTTTTTCTTTGAAAAGCTTGTTGTTTTAATAAGCTTAATGTGGTTTTACGTACTCTCTTGGCATGTCCATCTATATCTTTATAATGGTTACCACATTCTGAACATTTTGATTTCTACTTGATGGACCTCTATTATGAGGAGGCATTCTTTTTTTGGGGGTTATTTAGAACTATTTAGGACTATTTATATCACATTCTAATATAGAAAATTTTTCAAAATTTTTCAAAATCGCGTGAAATTTGATTTGTTAAATAATCTACGGTTTACATTGATTTCTATGAATGCATAATATAAAAAAAAATTTTCAAACCAAATATTCACAGATTAAAATAACGTAGATTATTTATATTGTATAGTATAATTTATGGAACAGGAGAATTAATGTTACACCAAGTGAGGGATTATATCCAGTAAATAATTTTATTGTTGATTGACTACATCGTGTGAAAAAATAGTAAAATCACTCAACTCAATTCAACTTATAAATAACGATGATAACCTACGCTATCTAACAAACTTTGGCAATTTGAATCAGAATAACTCTACTTTCGAACTAAAATCATATAATAAGGGGAGTTTTTTATAACATTTCTTTCATTTTATACTACTGATATTCACTTTCTTTATTCGTTTCTTAGGGAAAATTTTGATTCATAACTTCGGCAATTTGATTCTTATTGAATCAGATTTGTCAGGTATCCGTATCGGGATATCAACTTCGGCAATTTGATCTTTAACAAGATTAAATCTGTCAGGCATCCATGTCGGGATGTTATTAACTTAGGGGAGTAACAGCATATGATGATAAATTATGTAAAAGTGATTGTACAATTCAAAAT